ATCTGGCCATGAATATATATACATATATTACTATATCTGGCAGGCAATTAAGAACGCATGAATATATATATATATATATCTATATATATATATTCATGCGTCTTAATTGCCTGCCAGATATGTAAATTAACGGGAAAGATCGATTAGCTCTCACAGGGAAGAAAGATGCACGTAGAGATAGTGGCTGCAGCAATGAAATCTGCAAACACTATGTAACAGTTCATTCAAGAGATTCTAGCCCGTAGCGAGACAAGTCTGCGGCCTTGCCCCGGGCTGTCTGTTCGTTTGTTGGTGAACTGGCGTGTCCGGCAAGCTTTAGATCATTCACATGTTGCATAATGCATAATAAGAATAACGTTCTCGGGAGGACACTCCTTTGATGACTACATCTATAACAGATGAGTAAGCTTCTAGCCTAACTCAGATCTATATCTGCTTCGGAATTGTTATTCATGCTTATCGTTTGCCATATTAGTGCAGAAGAATGTTATAAATAATTTGAGTTAATTAAAATTATTCGATTTGTTGTTACTGCTAAAATATTTTGATTTTGATTATTCTTCTGATTACGATTTGAAATTATTTATATATGCTTATACTTGCTTATAATTTAAATTTAAATTGCTTATAATTTAAATTTTTTTGCTTTCAACTCTTTGTTTGTTTAAAAAGATTTTATTTATTAAAATTTTTTCTTAAAATAAAGAGAGATTAGACAAGTCGATACAAGAATTACGATTGCTAATAAAATTCTTTATTATGTTACATGTTACATTTTTCGAAATTTTTCATACCCAAATTACATAGAAAATATATATATTATCTATATTACATTACATATTTATGTGTGGTATCACAAAAAAATAGAAACATATTACGTCTAATTATATTGCTGATAAAAGTGTGAGAGATGCTATTATGATCTCAAGTAACATTGTATTATTATTGATCAAATTAACCGGTTTAAAGAGAACGCTTAAAATAAAGAGAACGCTTAAAAAGTTAAAATATCATCTTATTAAAATATATATTTATGTAATATAGAAAATGTAAAAAAAGGAATTGAAAACAACAAGTTATGTAATTGAATCAAATTGACAGAACGTGATCTGATTTAATTTATAAACTATATTAGCTGCATTAATATTTAAACGAGAGCACTGAACATCTCTGAGTAATATTAAGTTCAGTCTTGTTCATATCATGGGCGGCAACATTAATTAACGATATTTTTCAAGGGTTTTTTTCAAATGTATCGCGAGAAAGTAGTGCTAATAATCTGGACTGGTTATGCAAACTATTAGTGAAAATTTCGTAACGTAGGTGTGCAATTCCGGTGTACCGTAAGCTGTAATTTCGTAAGCATTACATTTATCCCATAGCTTACACGTCGAATTGTGGGACGTTAATTGTTAATGCTATCAGTAAGCAATTATTAATATTGTATCCATATCTATAAAATACACTTTTAATTATTGTAATATAATGTAAAATATAATATCATTCCGAGGAAACAATTTTCCCGCGTATAAAAACTAGAAACTAGTCTCTATTATGAAAGACACACACACACACACACACACACACACACACACACACACACACACACACACACACACACGAGCGCGCGCGCGCGCACGCACATGTATATTTATATTATATTTATTTATATTATATAATATATTAATCTCTATTTTTAACTTTTCTTAAATATTTTTGAATGCGTGGATTTAATTTTTTTAAACGTCACATCTCCTTTTCCGCGTTTCAAAAATTTTTCAAATGTTTGGTTCCAAATACATTCACAAATCAAGGTTTAAACTTAAAAGTTTAATAAAATGTATGTGATATTAAATAAATAATATAATAAATAATAAATAATATTTTGTTTACTCGCAATATTTGAATTAGACATTATAAAATTAGCTATTTATCGTATGTATATATGTATATGGTTTTCCTATAGATAAATACGCCTGTATTGATTTAGGTTTATTACAGGCGTAGTCAGAAAGGATTTAGTGCACGAATGGCATGCAGAAAGTTACAATTGTGTCACTCCCTTCGCGATTTCACAAGTGGTTACCTCATTGAAATATGTGTGTGTGTGTGTGTGTGTGTGTGTGTGTGTGTGTGTGTGTGTGTGTGTGTATAATAAGTAA